CAAAACTATATTTCAATATAAATAATATATATATATATATATATATGTATATATATATATGCATGCATTGTTTGTTATTATTGTGTCTTAGAGCCTGGAGAACGGAGGGGGTCTAACAGTTGCTGTAGACGGTTCGCTGTATGTTCGTAATGCTTGGTATGGGAGGCAGATAGAGCATCATTTGAAGTCTTTATTAGGTGAAGAAGCACAGAAAAGAATTACATTAAGAGCTGCAGATGATGGATCAGGCAAAGGAGCAGCAATTTGTGTTGCAGCCCTTCATTAAACAAACTTAATTAAAAAAAAAGAAATGCATGCAAATTATGCATGCATGCATCCATCATTTGCATGCATGTATAAATAATCCTTTGGAGGTATGTAATTATTCTTTAGATGTATGCATGCATGCGTATATTATATCTATCTACCTATCCTTTGCTTGCATGCATGCTTGCATATATTATATATTTATCTATCCTTTGCATGCATGCATGCATGCATGCATGCATGCATGCTTTGTATGTATGGATGCATGCGTTGCATGCATTGAGATGATTGGGGATTTGCTGTGTATTTTATTTATTTGTTTGTTTGAATATGCGGCATATATAAATTTAAAGAGAAAAAGAAGGTTTTTCTTCTTTTTTGTTTGTGGGGTGTATAAAAGCCAATATAAACAAATAAATGAACAAATAAATAAATAAATAAATAACTCAATGAAGAGAAAGACAGCAGAGCGTTGCTAAGATCCGACTATATCTCACTTGAATAATCTCTTCTTTTATATCTCTCTGTCTCTCTTTTCTGTTTATTTATCTTCATGCTTTTATTTATTTAAAGGGCGCTTTAATATTAAGCAAGAACCCTTTTGATGCTGCGTCTTCTTGTGTTGTTCTATTAACAAAGAAACGGATATGCATGCATGCAATATATTGCATGCATGCATCCATCCCTTCATAAACACCTGCATGCATATGCATGTATTGTTCTTCTACAGACTTCATGCGGCTTGCCGCTATTTTTTAACAGCTTTAAATTTAAAGAAGAAATACTCTCTTTTTATGATGTCTTCATTCGGGTGTATGTACACCTGGAGGCATCGGGGCTGGTGAAGCCGCATTTATTTTTTATTATAAATGAAGGCTTTCTTACTCTTCATATTATTGTTGTTATTTCTATTATTATTATTAGTATATTATTATTATTATTACTATCGTGATTGTTTTTTTGTTATAGTTATTACTATTAGCACTATTATTTTAATATTATTATTGCTGATTATAATTATTACTTCTATTACTATCATTTCTATCATTATTGCTATTACTGTTGCTTTCATTGTTATTACTATTAATTTAATATTATATAATAATAAATTATTATTACTAATAATTAAATATTATATAATAATAAATTATTACTAATAATTTATTA